TATTAAAATACAGTTAAAAAAGAAAACAAATCCCAAACATACCAAAACACAGAACTGAAAAGGTCAACAACACTTCAGTCCACCTAGCGAACATCCAGTGAGGTAGATCTACACTTCCGATACAAACTTCGTCATGTCTTTGTGCTGTTAGAAAAAAACCCTCTTCTCTGTCCAGCACTGGGCTACAGAGGCATTTTATCCCTGAGATTGCTCGAATACCTGAGAATAAGTTGCAGTAATTATGTCCTTTCTCTCTCTTTTTTTTTTCCTTTTCTTAAAGATTAAAATATACAAAAATACAAAACCAGAATATTTATATTAAAAAAAAACAAAACAAAACCAAAAACAAAAAAAAAAACCCCCACCCTCAAAACAAAGACGACAAACAAACCCAAAGATACGTCATTCACGCACGTCCTAGTGCAGGTTTCACTTGGCGTTGGCTTTGGCATGGATGGGGGGACTGCCCCGGGAGAAGGGCTGTCCACCGGGGCCAATAAATAAAGGCAAGGCTTGGGGGGGCCGGTGGGGAGGGAGGACAGCAGCCGCTAACGATGTGGGACACCCGTTTCCTCTGCCCCTTGGGGAGGCTCAGCCCAGGAGCCATGGGTTTCTGGAGCGTGGGATGGGCAGGAGGAGCAGAAGCGTGGGTTTGTCCTGTGTGGGTTTGATCCGCAGCCCGTGGGAAGACCCGGGCGCTCTGGTGTCTGGGTCAAGCTACGGCTGGATCTGTGTGAGCCCCGGGTGGGTTGCGTATGCAGCCTCCGAGGGAAACATTGCCAGCAACGCTCCCAGGAGCCGGCTCTGCCCCATGTCTGGTGCCCATGGCTTAACGAAGAGCATTTCTACTCCATGAAGCCCTCTCACTCACTGGCTCTGCATTTTAGGGGCATGGAGAAGCCTTAGAGAGGAAGAGCTGGCTGCATAACACACCTTGTGCTCTCCGGGCTGGCACGCAGGAAGGCTTAGGGGGAAAAAAAGTGTTTTTCTTTTGACTTGGTCTCCCACAAGGCGCAGCTCACAGCCCACAAGCAGGCAACAAGCATTAGCCCAGCCCTGAGAGATGCCCCATTTCCCTCCAGACTGAGCCCAAATCAGCTCTGCTGGTTTCAGCAATGGGGCAACCATGGAAAAAATGCAAATCCTCGCACCGACCTGCAAGTGAGAAGCCACAAGGAGCCAAGGGACCCACGGGGCCGGCCCACGGGCATCTCCCCGGTGCTCTTCAGCCAGCCTTCCCCCGTCGGCTTCCCTCCTTGGGGCAGAGAGGAGCGGGTCCTCCGCCGCTTCCCCAGGCTGTGCCAGAGCCTGTTTGAAGCTCGGGAGCCATGAGCTCCTCCCTGAGATGTTGCTTCTCTGCTCCTCCTCCCAGAGACGCTACTGCCAGGATTCGTTTAAGAAAAGAATAAAGATGAATCAAATATGTTTGGGTTTTTTTTTAGCTGGAAGAGGTGTGTTGGGTGCTGCCTCCCCCTATTTTTAGAGTGACCCATCCCGATTAAAGCAGGGCTTTCCCCAGGCTGGGAACAGGGGGAAAAGGTCCGTGCAGGGACACTGGGTCCCCGCCGTTAGCACTGCTGTCTTCCGTCCCCAGTCCTTCACCCTGCCCTCCCTCCTCCGAGCCCCCACAGCTGCCCATTGCCTTGCCAAAGCCTTTTCATCCCGGTGGAAGCCCCCCCTTCCCCGCCACCCGCCATCATTCCCGGGTTTCGGGGAGGAGGGCCGAGCTGTGCATGTCCTCCTCCTCTCGGAAGTAGGCAGGTTTTCCCTGGGAGCTGGGGGACTGCTGTGCTTTCGCGGGGCAGTTGGCGACCATGTGGCTGATGCTCTGGCAGAAGTGGCATTTCTTGGGCTGCGGCGGGAGCTTGCACTCTTTGGCATGGTGGTCCAGCCCACCACAGTTGTAGCATCTGCCAGGGAGGGAGGAGGGAGGGGAAACGGAAAGAGATTCGAGGAGGAGAAACAAAATGAGGTGGGATGCTGAAGTGGCTGTGCCTGGGACTCATCTGGCTTTGCAACCAGAGTTGGGCTCAAAACGGCCCGGCCGCTGCGGGGGTCGGCTCTTTAGGGGCAGATGATGGCCCTGGGTTTGGTCCCCGCAGAGCCCTAGCTCCAGCATGGCCAGTTTGGAGCTGGCTCAGTGGTGCTGCTGGTACCCAGGAGATGGCAGCAAACCCCCGCACCGAAACCAAGCACTCGGGGACAAAAATGGGGGAAGTCGGGGGGCTTCCACCCCTCTGGCTCCATCATGGTTCATGCGTCTACAGTCCCTGCACCCAGGGTTACACGCTATGGACCAGGAGCCTGCGGCAGAGCAGGAACAGGCAATCGGACAACTCACAGCCCCAGCTGAGAGAATGGTTGCAGGGACCATGGCCATCGCTGTGGGGACAACCCCAAACATGGCTTCTCTCATGGCTGTACCCTTGCAACCCTCATCCCCTGGGTGTCACCTTCGCACCAGAATGGTGAGGGCAGAGGGAGCTGCTTTGTGTATATTTTAAATCCTGCGTCTGTCTAGGATGGCCACAACCCTTTGCTCTTTCTTTTTCCTTCCCAACCAATTTTAAAACCCACTTGTGAGAGCAGCTGTGTGGGGAGGGCAGCGTCTACTGGGAAAGCTGGGATGAAGCATCCCGGGGTAGCCGGGATGGAGAGGATGGGAGAGGAGAGAGGAGACGAAGGGCTAGTCAGAAACTTGCCCCGGGGCTCCCAGCCTCACCGTGGGAGATGCTGCCAGGACGTCCGGCCATTTCCTTCCCACAAGGAAGGGTTTCTCTTCGAGAAAATTACCCCTGCCCAGCGCGGCTCCCCTAGACGAGGGGAGCGGCCGCCCGGGGTGTCCCTGACCTCTGCCCCTTCGCTGCTGGTTTGCTGCCCTTTCCCCACCAAGCTGCATCTGCCACTCCTTAACTGCC